TGTACTCCCCCTGCCGCCCTCCCTATTCTATATCTCTCTCACTCTCGCAGCCCCCAGGTTTACGTGCCTGAAGAGGGGCCAGGGGAGTAGGTAGGCTAGAACGTCATCCCCACACTGAGGTGGTGAGTAGCTATCTGGGTGGCTGGATGGCTAGATGGGTTGGATGGCTGGCTGGCTGGGGTGGCTAGCTGGCTCTGCCCTAGTTGCATTGCGCATGCACTGTGGGTGCAGAACGTCGCGCTGCTAGATGGACGGATGGGGGACGCAACAAAGAGAAAAATCGATCACCATGCTTCCAGAGTGGCAGAGTCACGTCCACTAGAGAGTACAGTACGTTTGATAAGGAAATTTCGAATCCCTCTGGAATATTTCGCTTTGATGCATTTATATGGACCAGTCCTCCGTTATTTAAAATTTTACTCGGCCTGTGCTTCGTTATCATTAATTTTTCTTTGTCTCGAAGCAAATTTTTCGCTTCTCACGTCCACGTAACAGGGACGTAGGTTCGACGATATACATTTATCAGGGTATATACGTACCTGTGTATGATAATACTTTAAAGGTTAGATATTTTTTTAGACACGAAGTCGTATGCAGTGGCGTAGGGTAGCATTTAATTATCTTATACTAAAAATCGTCATTGCCTCCTCGTACTGGCTTCTATACGTTAGTTATACAGACTGCTACAATTTCCATGTATAACGTGTAGGCATTGTCTTTACAATAAACGAAGCATATATTTCAACGGCTAGCCAAAACTCCACAGCGTATTCGTTTTCACTCCGAGACGATTTATTCGAAGTCAGCAAAACATCTCTTCTTTCATCTCAACTCCTTCGTTTCGTCCTAACGAGGATACAAGAGTCTACGAGTCAGCGTTTTTTCCTGCGAGTCCGAACTCTTGCTTGCTGTCACGAGTCTCTGGTGTCGTTATCACCATTATCTCGCTTTTATCTTCTCCGTCGGTACGTCTTACGCGCGTATGTAAAATCGCGGGTGAACACGGAGGCTGATTAATCGAAAGTGCCGACGAGAAAGTGACACGATGGTTTTGAGGTTAGAACGCTTACTTCGCGTTACACATAAGATCCAAGGTAATATTACGAATCGTCTAAAACGAGATTGACTAAGGGTCCGTTCACACGTAACGCAATCGAGCGGCACGTGAGCCGCCGCTCACGTTTCACACTCGGGTCGTAAGTCCGGTCTTAAGTGCACCCGGTCCAATCTTGGGGATCTCAGGCCGTGCAACCTCAGGATCAGGAAATCTCCTGGACGTCCAGGGGGTGGGACAAGGGGGGTTGAAGAAGGAGAGTCTCACAGGGGAGTAAGCGTGGCGCGACAAGGTGCGAAACTTGATGGGAGTCACGGGGGACGATA